AAGCACACAGACTTTATTAGAGCCACAGAAAGACAAATGTTTTGCTGAATATGCACAATACACAATTCATTATGTACATTAACAACGATTCGGGACCAATATAATGTAATTTAAAGGAAAACTATGTGAATGGCGCTCTGTGGCACGGCAGGATTTTCTGTCGGCTGCATTTAAATCCGCGTCTGAAGTTTCCCGCCCTGCGTGTAGTATCACGTGTCTAAACAAATTGCACGTGCTGTCAGTGATTTCAACCACTAGAGGGCTCTCTCGCACTGTATAATGACAGCAGACCCTTCTCAGCCGCTCCAGTAGTATCACGTGTCTAAACAAATTGCACGTGCTCTCAGTGATTTCAACCACTAGAGGGCTCTCTCGCACTGTATAATGACAGCAGACCCTTCTCAGCCGCTCCAGCAATGGACGCAACCCGGAAAACAATCGGCAAGGATTTTTGCCGATAACCGATAGTTCCAGCAATCAACTATCGGTGCCGATTAATCGGCAAAACCGATACATCGGTCGACCTCTAATCCAAACCTATGATTTTCTTTTTTCCTGTGGAACACAACATATACGTAGCAACCGGTAATGACAGATTTTGAATACTGTATACAAGTCATGTGCAAGAATCTCCTTCTGTGTACAACAGAGAAAAGAAAGTCTTATGGGTTTGGAAAAACACAAATGTGAGAGAATTTATGGGTAAGCTAATATTTGAAGGGGAATTACAGTAACCCTTTGAGGCATGTCCTTTTGAATACATATGGAAAGAGTTTCTGAATATTTTGACTAATGTACAAAGTTAAATATTTTTCAAATATATCTGTAAAATTGTGATATACTACTTTCCTATATTCATGAAAATGAAAGAAAGTAAAACTGCAGACAACAAAAAAAGGTATATCAAGTACACGGAGTTAAGAGGTTTAAAAAGTGAAAAATTAATTGGTTGGTCAAGGATACCTTATTGCCAGCAAGTGGGAGCTACATTTCTGATATACCATTCTCTCATGCTTTACTTCCACTAGTCCTTGGCCCCAAAACCCAACCTTTACAATTCAGGTTACAGTGGCTTCTTTTCAAATAAACTTTAATCAAAATATTTCAAGGTATCATTTTTGTGGCTTTTTACAGACTGACAAGGATTTCTTTTGGTCAAGGTTAGATTTTCTTCCAACTGTCTGTTCAGCTGAGTGCACTGAGATCAGTGTCTTAACTTTTAATCTTATTAACAATCCTATGCTCCTAAACTCTGTTTCATGACAGAAATACTGCACTACGGAGGAAGAGTGGCAGATGGGTACAGAAAAAAAAAAAAATCAACAAAAAAATTTTTTAATAATAATAATAATAAAAAAACATGGCTTCTGTTTCTTTTCTGATAAGGGTCTTAAATACCAGCCTGTTAGCTGCTTAATAACATACACTGTACACCACGCAGTCTGTCTGGCAGATTCAGTGTAGAAGTAAAAAAAAAAAAAAGAAAGAAAGGAAAAAAGAAATGGAGTGAGAGGAAAAGTTAATTTCTTGGCTGAGTGATTCCATCGCTAGCTGCAGGGCAAAGTAGAAAGTGTTTCGCTAAAGTAGCAATTGATTCTTCTATCAATCTGCGGCACGCGCCTGCTCTTCCAAGGAATATATTAAATATGAAAATGCTGAATAATGGTTGTGGTATTTTTCTCTACAACTCTCAACTCTCTTCTTTTGCAAAAAAACGACACACTCCCATTGGATCCCATCACAGCACTGCAGTTTTATCAAAGGCACACAGATAGCTTTGTAAATTCCCCACTGAACTGTAATTTCCATAGATGACACGATAAATTTCTCTTACCTCGTCCGCTTCCGATTCCCCCCTGCTCCCCATTTTCTTTCGGTCTTTCTTCAGTCTGGTAATATGATTATTGTACTCCAACTGAAATCAATTCAAGTCAAATCATTACTAACATAGATCATTTTCAACAATGTAAACGACTAAAATTGTTTCTTATAGAACTTACAGTTTGCTCTAGTTCTTAAAACAAACAAACAAAAACCTCTGCAGTGACCTCAGTTATGAGACAAGTACACAGGAAATTACAATTTACTCAAATCCATAACCTACTTTTTTCATTAAATATTACAAACAAAGCAATGGAAGGGAAAAATATGTTCATGCCCCTAAACGTAGCACTAATCAGTGCGTGTATTCCATTGTGAGTGCCCTAAATAGTGCCTGCCAAAGGCTCTTAATCAGTTTGGAGAGTTAACCAACGGCAGAGATGAGGGCACTGGGATTACCTCCAACCTCCCACTTCATTCTCGTAAGACAATATCTGCACTCCCAAAAGGGACCAGAGTAAAAAACCATTTTCACCCATTTAGACGTGATAACACAGCTACAAGCAGACAAATCTTAGCACTGTTAATATCTGGGTGGAGAAGAAAAAACATCAGCGAGGGAAAGAGAAAGAGTGTTTTAGACTTGAGCGTGATGTGTTGAGGTCATGGTGTGAATTTGAGCAATTAAGTAATAAGGATCAATTTAGTGTAATAAAAATCAAAGTGATATTCCTTGACTGGCAGTTAAGATTAGCAGGTATCTCTTCCAACTGTAATTCAAAGCAACCATTGCAGCAACAAAAAATATAACACACACACAAAGTAGGAAAACGGGTTCTTTTCACAAAAAGAGAAATTCAGAGGCACTTCAATATCTGAATACAGGGCGATTAATTTGTGGTGGTGTAATTAAACAATTTGTCTAATTTGATATTAAGCTGTGGAGCACTGTTCAGTTTTAAGTGACAATCTGACAGAGCTGTTGTTTTCTTTTTCTCACTTGTGAGCAGTGATAAATGAGTGCTGGAGTGTTTATGATTGTTCCCAAACAACAATAAGTGCGAATGTTTAAACACTGGAAGACAATTAGACAGACAATTACAGGATTATGGCAATGGTCTAATTGAGGCTCAGAATATATGTCTGGAGAAGAAAAAAAATCAGTGCCTCAAAAGAATCTCAAAAGTTTTTGGAAATACAAAACAAATATTCAGTCTACACTAGACTTGTGCCGGTATTCGGTGATGCGATATATCACGGTAATGAATATGCACAATATTGTTATCGTGGGCACTTCTAAATACCGTGAATAATTATATATTACAAATTATTCCGAATTTTGAATGCATCTTAAGAATGCTTTTCCCATCAACTGGTCAAAATGATGGGATGTAATGACTCTGATGTAAACAAGCGCGGACGAGAAGTGCATGGCAGAACATGGCTCTGGATGAAAGCCCACTTTCACTCTCTGACAGCAGAAAATGGGCTAAACTGCAGAAATAATAATAATAATAATAATAATTCATTTAAATGCAACCGTTACCCCGGAAACCCTGTAAACAAAGCAGCTGCACTACTTTCTGTTCCTGAATCGTGTTTAAATGATTTAAACAGCCATTCAGATTTGTGTATTTGCTATGATGTTCATCACAGCACCAAATACTTACATATTTAGACTTAATAGGCT